CAATGAATTCCGCCTCTGCAGTTGACTGAGCCACCACCTCCTGCTTCTTAGAGCTCCACGAAAAACAGTTTGAACCAAGCATGAAACAGAAACCAGAGGTACTCTTCATGTCTTGAGTTGAACCAGCCCAATCACTATCAGCAAACCCAACCAAATCGGTTTCAAAATCCGACTTAAACAGAACACCATAATCAAGTGTTCCCTTCAAATATCTCAACACCCTTTTAGCTGCCACCAAATGACTCCTCCTTGGATTATTCAGAAACCTCGAAAGTACATTAACAGCAAACAACACATCTGGTCTAGATGCTGTTAAGTACATCAGACATCCAACCAAGCTTCGATAGTTCCTTTCATCAACCTCTTCTTCTGTTTCGTCAAGCACTAACTTCTCCTTCATGTTCATGGGTGTTCTCACACTCTTACAGCCATCAAACTTGAACTTCTTCAATATTTCTGAGAGATACTTCCTCTGGCATATAAAAATCTCCCCTTTACTCTGATTTATCTCAATTCATTTATCCAGAGTTTTGAAAAGATTTTGGTTACCTGTCATGTGGTTTGTACAACCACTGTCGATCAACCAATTATCATCTTCACTCTTGGAGACAAAGCATGAAGCCACGAACATCTGCTCTACCTCCTTTGCATCAGCATTCACCACCTCTGTTTGCTGTGCCATTTTTGACTTACAGAATTTTTCAATGTGACCAAGTTTGTCACACCTTCTGCACTTTAAATTCTTCCAACACCTCCAATGAGGATGTCCTTTCTTGTTACAGTGCTTGCAAGGATCAGGATAACCTCGGTTTTCACCAGATTCTTGACCAGAATGCTGACTACTTCCCTCTACTTTGTGCTTCCAACCAGATTTCTTCCCCTTATCAGCACCTGAAAACTTGGCTTTTGCCTTCAAAGCCCCTTCTGTCGATTCTTCCTTTCGCATTATCCGTCTTTGTTCCTGAGCTTGAAGAGAACTCAGCAGTTCTGCAAGCTTCAGATTCGCCATCTCCTTTGTATTCTCCAGAGAAGCCAATGTAGCTTCAAATCTTTCAGGAACAGAGACCATGATCTTCTGCACAATTCTCTGATCAGTGATATCTGTTCCCAGGATTCGAATCTTATTGACAATCTCAACAAGACGATCAACATATTCCTTGATAGACTCTGATGGTTTCATCTGTTGTCTTTCAAAATCTCTCATCAAATTCAACACTTTCATACCTCGGATCTTATCATCACCTTCAAACTCCTTTTGCAACAAATCCCACATGGCCTTTGCTGATTCCAAATTCATAATCTTCGTGAAAACGGAAGGAGAAACTGCCGAGAAAATGCAAGACATCGCCTTGGCCTTCCTCGTCACCTTCTCCTTATGGCTTCTGATCTGATTGAGTGTCGGATTTCCTGTCAATGGAGGAATCTCATAATCCTCCTCAACAGCTTCCCACAAATCTGATCCTTTCAAGAATACCTTCATCTTGACAGACCAGACCTGATAATTCTCGCCATCAAACATGGGTGGAGACATGCTTGAAAACGAAGACCCAGGATGTTCTTGACGGCGATCCAGTGCGACTCACCTGGATCTGACTGGTATCTACTCGTAATGCTCAACGCGTAGGATACATCCGGTCGAGTACAAAGCATGACATACATGATGGATCCAATTGCCGAAGCATATGGAATCCGATCCATGCGTTCTCGCTCATCAGGTGTCGTAGGACACTGACTCTTGCAGAGAACTGTGCCACTGCTCATCGGTAAGGTTCCTTTCTTGGAATCTTGCATCTTGAACCGTTTCAAGACCTTATCGATGTAAGTACTCTGACACAGGCCTAGAAGACGCCTCGAGGTCAGGCGGTCCGAAGGCAACTGAGTAAGCTTGGTTCGCCGGACCAAGCTCTTGGTCCGGCGGACCAGGATCTGGAATTTTCCAAAATTTCGGATTTAGGGTTTTCTAAGCTTATTTAAGTTTGGGATTTCGTCCAAACTTAATTAAGGTCGTCCTAAAACTCAAAGAGACATCTTAGAACCCTAGAGAACCTGTTCTCTTCGATTTCTATTGTCCCGAGATTGGATCTCGTCTCTTGACTTACCCTTTTCTTCACTAATCCTAGCAGATACGTTCCAAATAGTTTGGAATCCTTCCCGTCGGTGTGGATACGTGTAGAGGGACATTAACTTCAGTCCTAGGTGTTTTAGAACAGGCCCCGGATCGATATTTGCTTTGAGTCTCGAGGAGAACGAGGTAAGTAACGATTCCGTTACTTACCTCGTTCTCGATGAAACTTGAAGCAAAGTTCAATCCGGGGCCTGTTCTAGATCACCTAGGACTGAAGTTACAGTCCCTCTACATGTATCCACACCGACGGAAAGGATTCCAAACGATTTGGAACGTATCTGCTAGGATTAGTGAAGAAAAATGTAACTCAAGAGACGAGATCCAATCTCGGGACAATAGAAATCGAAGAGAACAGGTTCTCTAGGGTTCTAGGATGTTTCTCTGAGTTTTAGGGCGGCCTTAATTAAGTTTGGACGAAATCCCAAACTTAAATAAGCTTAGAAAACCCTAAATCCGAATTTTGCCCTCGCACGTCCTCGGTCTGCCTGACCAGCGTCTGGTCCGGAGCTGACCAACTCTTGGTCAGCCGGACCAGACCTGGACAGATGACCTTGGACTGAACTCCGGACTTCCTGGACTGACCAAACTTGGTCCGTGGCTGACCAAACTTGGTCAGCTCCGGACCAACACACTGAAAACTCCTTTTCATGCTCGTTTCGGTTAAATCTCGTTTCCATTCTTCGGATTCTTCACGTATAAGTCCATCCCTAGTGGTGTGTGGTCCTGTAGGCCCATTCTAAGCGGTAGTGGCTTCGGAACCCTTTCCCGAACCACAAATCATGGTTAGCCTCTAACAAGACGCCATGACCACTCATTTAGAATTGAGTTAGAGGTGATCTAACCAAGGCATTAACGACTCGAGTTCTGATCCTTTGTCTCACGATATTATATGTTGAACAAGGACATGGTTTGAGCCACCCTTCAAGTTCAACTGCTTTCTCGTCTTGGCAAATCGACTAATAAAATTGATGCAACTTCATCTATAGCGTTGCCACGGGTTTTTCATAGTCCGACTTCCAGAGAGGGCCCAGCGATATCTCTCATATTAAGGAGGTGACAAGTGCCGTATTGCATGTCTACTATCTCCATATGATTCGTGAACTTATTTGATCAACGCCGTTATAATCATCCAGTTAAAGACGACGTTTGACGCAGTCAAGACACGCCACTCCTCATATCAGATACTCTAGACATCTCAGGTATGAGGATCCAAGAATGAACCGCTGTATGAGATTCAAGTCATGACTCTATCCATGTGACAATCTCATGCGGGTCATCCAGTCACTCATTCATAACGAGTACCCATGATTGTGATATGCATCCAATGCATCGATCACACCTCATGCTAGTCTTAATTCTGATGGAATTCCTGGGATCTCTAGAGCGAATCCTATTCCTAAGAGATCGATTCTAGGGTTTGCGCAGCGGATATAAAACAAAAATTTGAATAAAACCCTAGAACCATGCTTCTATGAATCGTAGAAACGTCAGAACGCTTACCTCAATCGATCCAGGGCCTGTTTCAATTGATTTGTTCATCCGATCTACACGTATCTACATCTCGGGATGGATTCCAACGATTGGAACTTGTCTGCTAGGACCCGAATCTGCTATTCGGTATATCGCTTCGAGAAAAATGAGACTTAGAACTCCTTGAACTCTTTGGTGTTGGTTGTAATGCTCTAGGATAATCCGTAATATGACATTTTGACTTTGTATTGATTCATTGATTTATGAATGCATTACATTCCCGTTATATGATTGGCATGTTTGTTATATTTCGGCATCCTTGAATCATTAGCGAATGATTCTAAACTCCCTAGTCAGTCAACATTGTGGGAACAATGTTGAATTAAGACTAGCATGAGGAGTGATCGATGCATTGGATGCATATCACAATCATGGGTACTCGTTGTGAACGAGTGACTGGATGACCCGCATGAGATTGTCACATGGACAGAGTCATGACTTGAATCTCATAAAGCGGTTCGTTCTTGGATCCTCAGACCTGAGATGTCTAGAGTATCTGATATGAGGAATGACGTGTCTTGACTGCGTCAAACGTCGTCTTTAACCGGATGATTATAACGGCGTTGATCAGATACGTTCACGAATCATATAGAGATAGTAGACATGTAATATGGGATTTGTCACCTCCTTAACAGGAGAGATATCGCTGGGCCCTCTCGTGGAAGTCGGACTATGAAAACGCGTGGCCACGCTATAGATGAAGTTGCATCTATTTTATTAGTCGATTTGCCAAGACGAGAAAGCAGTTAAACTTGAAGGGTGGCTCAAACCGTGCCCTTGTTCAACTTATGATATCGTGAGACAAAGGATCAGAATTCGAGCTGTTAATGCCTTGGTTAGATCACCTCTAACTCAATTCTAAATGGGTGGTCATGGCGTCTTGCTAGAGGCTAACCATGACTTGTGGTTCGGGAAAGGTTCCTAAAGTCACTACCACTTAGAATGGGCCTACAGGGTCACACACCAATAGGGATGGACTTATATGTGAAGAATACGAAGAATGGAAACGAGATTTGACCGAAACAAGCATGAAAAGGAGTTTTCAGTGTGTTGGGCCGGAGCTGACCAAGTTTGGTCAGCCCCGGACCAAGTCTGGTCAGATCACGCAGTCCGGAGGAAGCAGTCCGAGGTCGCCTGTCCAGATCTGGTCCGGCTGACCAAGAGTTGGTCAGCCCCGGACCAGACGCAGGAAACAGGCGGACTGAGGATGCTCGAACGGCGGACCGGAAAGGAACCAACAGGTTTGGTCCGGAGCTGACCAAAAGTTGGTCAGCCGGACCAAACCTCCAGGTCAGACGGAAAACTCAGAGAAACACCCTAGAACCCTAGAGAAGCTGTTCTCTTGGATTTCTATTGTCCCGGGATTGGATCTCGTCTCTTGAGTTACCCTTTTCTTCACTAATCCTAGCAGATTCGTTCCAAATCGTTTGGAATCCTTCCCGTCGGTGTGGATACGTGTAGAGGGACTGTAACTTCAGTCCTAGGTGGTTTAGAACAGGCCCCGGATCGAAATAAACTTCAAGTCTCATCGAGAACGAGGTAAGTAACGATTCCCTCGGTGATATACAAGATCTTTCGGGTTTCTTCGAGTTTGGTTGCGTGTGACGTTTGACTAGGTTTAGATTTTTCTTCCGCTGCATGAAACCTAGTAAACCAAACCCTAGATCGATATGATCGCATGCTAGGAACCCGTAGATTTCCCAACATTTGGATCTCACCAAAAGCTCTCAAAATTCTGCCAAAGACGGCTCAAAAAGTCTCTTAATCAATTAGGGTTTAAAGCTCCTTCTTATAAGGTGATTTAACCCTAATTCCGGTTTAATTTTCGAAAAACCTGAAGCCTGGAACGGACGGTCCGGAATTGCACTTGGACCGTCCATTCTAGCATGTAGAACGGACGGTCTGCCTTTAACGTGGATCGTCTGTTCTGTTGGGTTTCCTGAGATCTCATGGGCGAATCTAATTCCTAAGAGATCAGTTCTAGGGTTTGCGCAGCGGATTTAAAACAAAAATTTGATAAAACCCTAAAACCTATCATGAATGATCTTGTAGAAACGTTAGAACGCTTACCTCAATCGATCTGGGGCCTGTATCAATTGATGTGTTCGTCCGATCACTGTAGGCAGGAAGAATACCTTGCCCTCTACACGTATCCATACGGCGGAAAGGATTCCAACAGTTGGAACTTGTCTGCTACGACTGAAGAACACGTTCTCCTTTGCGCAAGGGTTTTAGGGATCTAACTCTTAGGTTTTCAACTCTCAAAACATGTCAATAGGGTCTGAAAGTCGTGCCAAGAGGCTTGGGAGGCATTCCCTAAAGTTAATCCCACTTAAAACTCTAATTAGAGCGAGTTTAGGAAATCCCGATGTCTGGACCGATCGGTCTGGAGCTTTTTTTACGTCTGGAGCAATTTCCGGACCGAGTGACTGTCACACGTTACCTCCGGACCGACCGGTCCACGTGTCTGGACCGATCGATTTGGGTTGGCTGGACCGATCGGTCCAGACCTTCTGGACCGGTCGGTCTGGCCTCCGCTCCACCGGGATTTTCTCGTCTCTTCTCGCGCAATCGTCCTTTCCTGTGTGTGTGACCCTGTAGGCTCATAGGCGGTCTCTTGCAAGACACTATGACTACCTATCTCGAATAGAGTTTGTTCATGATCCTACGAACGCCAGTGATGATTCCGTTTGATGATCCTTTTGTATCACGATATCAAATGTCGAATATAAGGCATGACAAGCCACCTTATCTGATTCGACTGCTTTCTCGTTCACTGAGTTCGACTGTCTGAAATAGACGACGTTCGTCTGTAGTGCGACCACACATTTTTACAGTCTCGCTCACACGAGGGGCCCAGCGATATCTCTCTCTTT